TAAAGATGTCAGATACATGAAAAGAATAAGCGCTCTTGCTGTCCTCAGTCCTCAGGGAAAAGAGGAGCTATTAAAAAGGACAGAACAGTTTCCAAAGACTTGTTTAATATGGATGAAATATATGGCTAGGGACTAGCTTTGACAGAAAGTTAAAAAGTAGTTAAAATACAAAAAGTTATATTTTTTTTCTCAGAAGCAAGGAATATGTACAATGCAGTATGTATTCAATGAGACGGGTTTCTTAACTAGTGGTTGACATTCATTAATGGGAGAACACAGACATTTGGATCCCATCTGTTGCCTGACAACTGACACCGTGTCCTAACCAGGCATGATGAGATGTTTCTAGCAACAAGCAATTGATCTTTTCACACTAAACTGAAACTGCAAGCTGTCTGATGTAAAGGCAAATGGAAGATATTTGATGTTTAATGACAGTGATGCAAGTGAGATTTTGGACCAATGAGATTTCACAATGGGCGGAGCTAGCATTAAATAGAAGATAAGCGTTCACTACAATGTCCTGCTGGTTGTTGCTTATCCCTGCAGTGGGTGTTCATGACAAAACCTCTTGACATGGAAGAGCTATTGTTGTTTTACCATGTTATTAGAACAAAGTGTTTTTTAATGTCTGTGGGATTGCTTAATATATGGCAAATCTTTATTTTAAAAAAGCCATGAAATGTCCCTTTGAAGGAAAACTTTGAGATCATTAGTTTCTAAAGCCATTAGATCCTTCTTGCACTTTTCAGATATTTCTGTCCTGCTCGTTCTCTCAGTCTCTTTCATGCTTTACACAGCCTTGAACATGTCAGGCCGTATTAAATCAAACTGGAAAAATAATTTGTGGTCATCAGAGTGAATGCAGCGAAGAAGGATGAAAGTGAAGATGGTGGTCATGATCTTTGAGTGTTGTTGTTTGCTGTCATTTATACACAAGCCTTGAAAAACCTCTTACTTTCACTGTTGCTTTCTCACTGTCTCCTCTCTTTCTGGAGCATTAAAGGTGATGTAATAGGTGTGTAATTTTTCGAAGCTAAAATACTTTCTCCTTTCATAGTCACAGAGGATTTTAAATTGACCATTCGCCCCAAAAATTCTGTCATCGTTTACTCGCCCTCATGTTGTTCCAGACCTGTATTCTGTTATATTTTTGGTGGTACACATTTTTCAGGAATTGTTTTGCAGCTCTTGTCCTGCTAAGACAATTTATAGTGACTTGTGGCTGTCAAGCTGCAAAAAGGACAAAGAAAATCCTCACCAAAAATAAAATTCACAGATACAGTAGCAAGCCACAGAAAAGAAATAGAGAAGTAGAGTATGCTTCAGAGTGCTGGAAAGAACATTGCTTTCCGCCCCGATCATCACTGCAACAATCTCTGAGCAAAACATTAAAAACTATGTATTTTACAGTATCTAATTGCTAAACAAATTCTTTCTAATAAAGAAAATGCTTCTTATTTAGGCAGTTCATGAGGATTGAATGTACATAGGAAACTGCATTTACCATCATTCTCTTTAGCAGTGCAAAAACATAAATAAGCTACATTCAAATCATGTCAAAATAATCATATATATATTTGCACATATGGATGACACCATGGGGAAAAGTCAGGATTTTCTTTAAGAACTTTTATTTTTATATTTATATTTTTCCTGTCATTTTAAGGTTCAAGTTTTAGTAATTTGATGTTCTTTTGTCATTTTTAATAGTGTTGTGTAATTTTAAATTGTTTTTAAAATAATTCTATATAGCTTTAATTTACTTTTATTTTAGTTATAGCTTTAGTAATTTTAGTACTTTTAGTACTTCAACTTAATCTCATTTCAGTTAGTTGCCAAGGCAACATTAAGTTTTTCATGTAATATTTTAATTTAATTCAGCTTTTTTTCAATGATCCAAAAACAGTTTTTAATAGTTTTATTTTTACTTAACAGTAACAATACTGATTAAAGAATTGGGGCGGAAGCAAATTAGTATTAATCCTGAATTATAACTGTGACGGTCAATTTAATTTTTATGCATTTTCTGTACTGTTGATGAAGAATAGTGATAAAGCTTGTTAGAAAATTCTATTCATTTAGCCTGTTTATGAGGAGACAGGGTTGTATGACCAAGCTACTTTCCCCATCATTTTCTGTGACAACCAATTACACACCTAATGCACATTCATTCATTCATACAGTAGCACTAAAATGGCTTTGTCATTATCAGCTAGGGAAAAAGAGAGAAATAATTAAGGATTGTGTCAGAAATGACTTGAATGCACATCACGTCATAGTTATGATTTCCAAACACTTAAATAGGAGCTTCTTCAAAAGTTCAAGGTTTGGCTAGTTACCCCTTGTTGGTTAATGGTGTGACTACATCATGTGGACACCACAAAACATCTTTCTTCATTAACATCCAGTCTGAAATTAGTGCTATATTATGACTACATAAACTGTTTTTGCAAGGAATATATATTGTATATTGGTATTATTCTAGATTTTTTTTATTAATTTGTTTTATTTATTTTGGAGGAGATGACTAGGACTGCATATGCTCTCTGCTGCCACCTAGTTTACTCCCTGGTATCTGTCTCTATCTGTCCCATTGGTTCTGCAGTTAACTATAGTCACAGTACTGCAGATATCTGAGTCAGCAGCTGCTGCAGTCATGCCAAGAGAGAAATGCAGACATACAGAGACTGTCTTTAACTAACATACATCCTCTCTCACTCTCTTAAATGCTCCATATGGTGATCATTAATGATGTTTCCTCTTGGGATGACCCTGATGTCTTGATTCAATGCCGTAATAACCTGTATGTGCACATCAGTCAGTACTCCCATGATCTTTCTCACATGCTGTTTGTTCCATTGACAGTTCAGTTAAATTATGACTAGCATCCATATCAGGATGCTTTACTCTTTCACCTTTAAACATACAACTCCATTAACAGTTGGCTGTGCTGCAGCAGGGGTGTTCTCTTTGCTGATGCTGCATTTCTCTCCACATTCATATTGTAATTTCACTGCTATGCAGCATTTTTCATTTTTCCCTTGAAAACTTTATGAAGGTCATTCTTAGATTAGAGTTAAGCGTGGGATATAATATAATTTCTCTGGTGCTCTGCTAAATTATAGACATATATTCTACAAATTGGACAAACTAGTTACAGTTTTTCTGATTTGTTTTCACACCAGAATCAATTGTATTTGCCAAAATTATTTATGAAATATTATAGAATATAATTTCTAGGATTCTGCTTCTATTTTACTTATATAAAAACTGTGCATATATATATATATATATATATATATATATATAAACACTTTGCTTTTTTTTTTTTCAAAAACTCTCAACACAAATTAATAATTTTACACCATTTTGTGCTCATGTTGAAAGCACTAGCATTCAGAAACCATCACAATGTCATCACAACCTCAGTTAACACAATTCTCATTATGTGAACATTAGTATGCAAACTACTTCACACAGCACCCAGAATGGGGTTTGCAAAAATAGCTACAGAGTTCTTGGCTTTAGATGCAAACAGTACAGAACGTACTCACATTAGAGGAAGAGTATTGAATGAAGTCACTGCCATTCTTTTGAGTGCCAACATGCCTTCTTCTAAAATGTAAACTAGGCTCTTTACAGATATATGATGAAGTTTGGTATTTGTGCAAAGTTTGTAAAATTTCAGTTTTCACTACAGCACTCGACCTGTGGTTAGAAGCATAGTTTCTTGTTAGTAAGACATATGGAATTTGCACAAAGAAGCCGCTTCCACACGTGCAGTCTTTGGGAGAGAGGACCTTAACATTCAAACCAAGTTTTCCCAGTCCTGCTCATCCTGATCTGCATATCCACCACAAAACCTTCACTCAGAGGCACCACAGAGCAGTGCTCTTTTAGAGGAGCATATGCTATAGTATAATTTTGGGCGAACAGTTGACTGAAAGTTGATAAGATGATCTGGGGTGCATTTCTGTATAGAGCATTGTTAGCCACCTATGACTGCAAATTCTGTTATTACCAACATAATTCAACAATTCGGTACAGCTCTATATCTGTGATTAGAAGCATAGTTTCTTGTTAGTATCATAAGAGGTATCATATCGATCACAAGTACAGTATGGAGTACCACAAGGTTCAGTACTCGGACCGCTGCTTTTCATGCTTTACCTGTTACCCTTGAAAGATAACATTTTGTTAGTATAACATGCACTTAAATAGAACAGGCTTTTGAGCACAATAAGCAAGCTAACATGCAGTACATTACATTCTATATCTTCCATTCTTTTTAAATATATATACATTTTAATCTATAAGTTTTAGTGTGTCCTCAATAAGCGCCGTTTTTGAAGAGAAGAGTGCACATGTGCATAAATACCAAAGGGAACCCCGCCGGAGTGTGACATAAGAGGAAACCCGCGATGAATCAAACATCAAATAAAGCAAAATGACAGGGAACAAAACAGTAAATTAGTCATCAGGCGCCATGTTCAATACAGCAGCATCTCAGAAATCTCGACTCAGTAAGTTACGTCGTTGTACGGGAAACGCGCCCCAGACTGAACGCTAGTTTTTCACCAGGAAGCTTTGAGTAAATGTGTTTTAGCAATTGACAAAAAAGTATAATACTGTATATATTTCAAGTACAGCTATAATAGAGAATTTGTGGGGAAGTTCGAAAGATTGGGTCAGTTATGGGAACACATTCATATTTAATATTCAGTCCCCTTAAGGGAAGAGAACAAATGTGGAGAGTGAGGTTTAGAGGTGGAATTTAAGTAAACCTTAAAATAGCTGTAGCTCAGGAAAAAAATGTCTCTAGTGATTCTCCACTCCGGCACAGAGAGAACATTCCTAATTCAGACTACTGACTCACTGCCACTGCTCTGCCATTTCCTGATTTGTTTGTTATTAATTAGTTTAATAAGGGATGCGGGAGACTTGGTAACAGAGTTCAAACTAATTTCAGACTCTCTCTTTTTCTCTCTCCCTCTCAGATGGCAAGGTATATGCACTGGGCGGGATGGGAGCCGACACGACTCCTCAGGCCTCAGTGAGGCTGTATGAGCCGACAAAGGACCAGTGGCTGCCCCACACCTCCATGCCCACCCCGCGCTACGGAGCCTTCTCCTTCCTGCACGGTAGCAAGATCTATGTTCTGGGTAAGCCCTCATAAAATTGTCTCATAAATCTGAATAATTCGGTTGTTTGTCAGAGACACACTCTTGGTTCCCTAGGAATAATAAGAGACGACCAACTTATTATTATCAGTGTTGAAAACAGTTGTGCTGCTTAATAGATTTTGTGAAAACCATGCAAAAAAAATTCAGGAATCTTTTATGAATAGAAAGTTCGAAAGAACTGCATTTACTTGAATTGATTAAATCTTGTGTAATTTTGGAAATGTTTTACTGTCCCTTTTGATTAATTTAATATGTCCTTGTCGAATAAAAGTATTATTTTCCTTTTAAAAATATTAAAAAAAACAGTAGAGTGTGTCTATGCATTTCATCAGCATAAAATACAATATTTATTGTTTTAAAGGAATGGAAATGTGGGTCTTCTCTCTAGAGGTGCTTAGCAGACGGTGTACTAGACTAGCCAATAATTATAATGTAACTTATTTTCCATGTCAGACTGTGTCACAATATTCTCCAGGAGCAGCAGATGTGGCAACAACATCTGGTAATGGTTCATGCCATCCCAGGGCTGATAAGAACCGTGGAGTGGAGTCATTTCTCAGTGGGGTGAAGTGAAATCTGCACTGCAATATGCTGCAGGGATCTGACAGTTTATAGCAGAGCTGTTCAGTTCTTACTTCAGTGTTGGAAATCCCAAGGAAGCATTAAATGGAAGCCTACACCGCAAATTTCCATGATACACTCTGTCCCATGATAAAGTCTGTCCTTTAAAAGAGACACAGCCCTCAGCTGCAAGTTACTGCCAGCACTGGCCTGTTTTGGGCGGAGTGAAAGAAACACTGACCATACGTGGCTATGTGCTACTCTGTGTGTGAGTGAGTGAGTGAGTGAGTGAGTGTGTGAGTGAGAGAGAGAGAGAGAGAGAAAGAGAATAAATGTTTAATTATGCATATTTTATTTAAGTAAACAAAGTATTGGGACAAAATATTGTCCCCCGAAAGTTAGAGCTCAATATGAGAGAGCCTGTATTTGGGGATGTTTTAAAAGTAAAAAGGACTGATAAATGGGTCAATTACAAATAAGAGTGTGTACAAAAAAGAAAAGAAAAAAAACATTTATCCTTATATTCATGTTGGTTTCATATGGTTTTGAAAAACTTGAAATACCATTTAAGAAAAGTCTGTATGTAAGGACTTAGAACTCCTATACATGCGAATGTACACATTTTAATCAATATTTAAAAAAAAAAAGTAATGGTAAAAAAAGGTAAAATTTATTTCTATTACAAATAACATAAATATAATAATTTTTGGAGTTCTGCACCAAGTAACATTTTACAACGTTTCATAAAAAAGTAAAACTATTGGATAATTTAAGAGACTCACTGACACACAGGCATGATTAGTTTTCAGCATGTTAGTCACACCACATGACTTTGATTTGGCATCATTTTTTTAGCTCCCCAAAAATATCAAAATGAAATTTAATTCAGAGATTTAAATCATGCTTATCACAGAAGTATATTCAATTAATAGTATGTATGAATTGCAGTTTTATTGTTGTTATATCATTATTCAATTAATAGATCCAGAAACAAAAACTATTTTGTGTCATTGACCCCAATCAAATGTTTTTTAATTCTAGACATGCCAAAGTTTTCTTTTAAGATTAGGGTTAATAGTTAATAATTTAAGAACATTTCACACTTAAATAGCTAGGTGTGTGTGTGTGTGTGTGTGTGTGTCTTGTCTGTCTGAGAATGCATGAACTGATACAATGCAATGTAAGTTGCTTTGCATAAAAGCCTCTTCCAAATGTGTACATGTAAATGTCTGAGTTTGATGAGCATTTGGAGGGGTTAGACTACGTGTATGTGTGAGTTTTATAGTTGATCAGAGTGTGTTTGTGCCCATGGGTTTGATGAGCATGTGGAGTTGCCAGTATGGGGTTGTGTTTTGCCAGATTTGTCCTCTATTTATTTCTATTACAAATAACATAAATATAATAATTTTTGTAGTTCTGCACCAAGTAACATTTTACAACGTTTCATAAAAAAGTAAAACTATTGGATAATTTAAGAGACTCACTGACCTTGACACACAGGCATGATTAGTTTTCAGCATGTTAGTCACACCACATGACTTTGATTTGGCATCATTTTTTTAGCTCCCCAAAAATATCAAAATGAAATTTAATTCAGAGATTTAAATCATGCTTATCACAGAAGTATATTCAATTAATAGTATGTATGAATTGCAGTTTTATTGTTGTTATATCATTATTCAATTAATAGATCCAGAAACAAAAACTATTTTGTGTCATTGACCCCAATCAAATGTTTTTTAATTCTAGACATGCCAAAGTTTTCTTTTAAGATTAGGGTTAATAGTTAATAATTTAAGAACATTTCACACTTAAATAGCTAGGTGTGTGTGTGTGTGTGTGTGTGTGTCTTGTCTGTCTGAGAATGCATGAACTGATACAATGCAATGTAAGTTGCTTTGCATAAAAGCCTCTTCCAAATGTGTACATGTAAATGTCTGAGTTTGATGAGCATTTGGAGGGGTTAGACTACGTGTATGTGTGAGTTTTATAGTTGATCAGAGTGTGTTTGTGCCCATGGGTTTGATGAGCATGTGGAGTTGCCAGTATGGGGTTGTGTTTTGCCAGATTTGTCCTCTTTCTAACCTCTCTGCACTGTGAGACATGTTCAGGTCAGACACAAAGTTCAACTGCCCTCTCACTCTTAGAGAAGTCATTAAAACTCTGCCTCCCTTCACACACACACACTAATGAGGACATACTGTAGATTTTTTTGTATAGGTGTAGGCTGGATATGGCAAGAGTGATGGGCAACATCACCTTCCCATGCCAACATTGATCAGCCTGGTGAAGCAGACGTGCCCTCATTACTGTTACACACCTGGACTCACATTCCCTCACAGCAAGTGCAACGTCTTGTTTGGTTTCATTTTACAGCTCAAACTGAATGTGAACAGAAGTGCTGTGAATTCAGTAGAGATGTTCTGATATGCTGTTTAAGATTGCTTGAACGTAGATTGAGGAGAATATGTTAATGTGCATCTCCCCCCTAAAGATCACCACCATTTGCCTCTGGGATAAAAAAATAAATAAATTGATAAATCCTCTTCATCTTGCTTTAATGGTTTTGGGGACTTTCTTTTTATTACCAAAAGAGTAAAAACTAAAGTGAAGAGATTGTTCATTTAAAATTATTTATGTCTAGCGATACAGATCTAACCAGTTGTTTTTGGAGTCTCCTACAATAGGTTTACATGCATGCAAGGTCAAAAAACGCTTTCGTTCTCTCAAAATATTCATTTAACATACTATCTCATTTTCGAACGATTTGCTTGAAGCAGTTCTAAGATTCAGTCTCTTTAAACCCCTCCTTTCTGTGAGCATACTCTGCTTTGATTGGTCAGATGGCCCAGTCTGTTGTGATTGGTCTACTGTGTACAGCGCGTGTCGGAAACGATACGCTACAGTGTTTGTGGGCAGGGTCAAGTTGTTCGCAGATGGCCAATATAGAACATAGGTGGGCATTATGCAAATGTGTTACCCCGTGACATGTAGCCGTCACAGAAGTGGGATTCGAATTACTGACGACTCGTTTAGGCTCTTCTGAGTCGATTCTTTCTTTTGGGAGACAATAACTTTATTTATCGTGCACTTTCAGCTTTACAACTTTGCAGATTGTTTACATTCACATACAGCTACATTACACACTGCATGAAAAGGCAATATTCATAATGGTATAATAACTTATGAAATTATTAGAAATTGAGATGTGGTGTGTGAAGTGAGTGAAATACAGAGAAATAAGAATATTTTCCCTCTGGACTCATGATTCTTCTCCTCCGCTATGACAGTTTTGTCTTGATGGTTAGACTTAAACTCATTGATTTGACATCACAGGGAATAATTCATTCAGAGCCTTGCTTTTGCTTATATCCCTCCTTGCGGTCTTCAGCGTCATTCTTTCTTTCTATCTCTGTTTTCTCTCTCTCTCCCTCACTTGCTCTTAAAAGGCTACTCGCCTTTGTATTTCTTGTCATGCTTTAGATACAGTTTGACACTTAAAAAAAGTTTTGCATTGAAGATCTTTTGCTGGGTGACAGCAGTAATATTAAGAAACTTAATTCTGTTATTTGTTGGGCTGCTGGACCACAAATAGAGCTGCAGTAAAATCACATTAAGGCCAAGAATGAGGAATGAGTCTGATCACAGAATGCTCATTTAGTTTTGATTTACTTTGGGATGAGCCCCACGAGGTCTATTGTGAGCGCAGACACAATCATACGTCACCCAGATGTACCACGCTGTCTCCCCAAAATAAGATGCCTACTGTGGATGCTAATATTGTTACCTCTGGTGCAGGCAGGAGAGCGACGTGACCCCATTCGAATGTGAACTAAAAAACATTCTCAGAGAAAGTTTAAGGCTGCTTTGAAGGTGTTTTCCACTGGTGTTGTTTTCATGAAGCTGAATGAAATGTACCTGTCCCTCGAAGACATGATCTAAATGCTCAGCACATGCTGTTTGATTTGCAGCATGGTTCATTGGGCTTTTCTCGCATTTTTGGTCCAAATTTTGAAAGAAATTGCACATAACGGATTTAAACGTGATAAAATGTGTAAAAAGGGAGCTGAAAGCCCTACTCTTATTTTAAGCTGTAAGCATTATCAAATTAGCCAGTTGTGTAGTTACAGGTTCTCTATGGACCTAATCGGAGATCGAAATCATCAAAACATTGCAGTTCACCTCCTCCTGCTCTTTTAGAAAGTAATGATAACGTGACAAAAGGTGAAGTGTGAATTTTCTGTTACAGTAAAGACTTTTTAATGTTACAAGTTTAATTGCTGTTATTTTGAACTTTCTATTCATCATAGAATGCTGAAAAAAAAATCTGAAATTCAGCTCCAAATTTTTGAACGGTAATGTCGTTCTGCCCAAACTCACACCCTTGATTGAACCAGACATGTCAATTCACTTAAACA